CCCCTCAACCATTACTTCTGGCAAAATGCCAGGGGCCATTCCAACTCCGGCTGGGGCTCTCAACAACAATGTAGCTGTTTAGTAAATACTTGTATAATGAATGAAATCCCACATGAAAGTTGGAGAAACCAAGTTTGGGGGCTATGTGTCTTGACCTTAGGAACCCAAGCTGTGGTTACTCTGAAACTATCTCCCCATCTATAACTCACTGCCTGCTCATTGGACGAAACATCACTCACTCCTTGGGATGTAAAAGGAACTATTCAGCAATGACCTTCTTTCACAGTAAAACTTTCTGCAATAATTCTTATGTTGAAACACCCAGGATTTAGTGTAAGACCTATGGTGCTTACTCTCTCAATATTTCTAGCACTTGTGATGGATAAGAACATCATTGAATTTTCCATCTCTTTTAGGATTCCCATCCCCATCCCCAAACACCAGCTTCAATGAAAGTAAATCTTGTATCTGCTACAGGACAGGAATGTCTGAGATACATGCTATGTAAACTGAACTTCAAAATTCGGGTGCTAGCAATGTTATCAATGGAAAAGAAAAATTGCTTCTATATTCATCAAATCCAGTTCAGAGAATAAAAACAGCTCTAGATGTTTCAAATGCAGGAACTTTATACAGGAAATTGGTTATAAAGGTGTTGAAATGTCTAGAAGACCAAAAGAAGCAATTTGATAATAAGCCCTTCATTACCATTCACAATTACATCCCCAGTGCCTAGCACAGTACCTGGCATGTAGCAATGGCTCAGTAAATATGTATTGGATCTATGATCACATTTGTGGGTGAGATTTAGACTGTCAGCCTAAGAAGTCCGATAGTTCTTTTGTAAAGCATTAGGACACCTGCATGACTCTTGATAATTCCACTGATGTGGATATGTGTTTTGGCCTTTGAAAAAAAATCGTTCAAAGTCTTCTGTTCAAAATGTTTTAATGGATGACATTCATTGAGCCCCTACTGGGCAGCAGGTACTATTCTAAACACTTTTCTAAGCACTTTGAAATATTATCTTCAACATAACCCTAGGATAATGGGTTCGTTATTCCTCGTTTCACAGATGAAGATGAAAGTGAGGCAAAGTGCTTTTAAGTAACATCTGAGATCATACAACAAGGAAATGGCAGAGTCAAGCTTTCACACACAGAGTGCGGTTCCCAAACCTACAATCCTAAGTTCTGTACCATTTGTGTCTCCATGGCTTGTGATGAAAGCTTAGCCCCCCTTTCTACCTTCATTTCCCATTTTATCCACTGCACCCCTACACTCCACTAGCTAGAGTAGAAATTAGATAGCTGTTTCCCCATCTCATTTGTTCTTCTTCTGGGCCCACAGAAGGTCATATTTTCTAGCCCTTCCTCATGGTTGTTGAAGCTGTGTGAATGAATGTAGCCAGAGGAATGTAAGCAGAGGTGATATGCATCCGTAGCAGGCCTGGCCTATAAACCTTTCACATTTGGTGCCATTCCCATGTTCTCTCCCTTTCCTTCAGCACGAGGAAGGTGAGCATGGTGAACTAAGATGCCACGTGCTGAAGGGCTGGAGTCACAGAACAGAAGAAGGCTAGATCCATGGATGAGGCTTGGAGAAGAGCAGAGAATCAAACAGGAGCATCTGCGTTCAACTTTAAGCAAGTGAGAGATAAGCATTGCCAGATTTGCACTGTTATACAGTAGGTTTCCTCCTCCCCTTCCCCTTCCTTCCCCTTTCTCTTCTTTTCTTTCTGAGATGTAACTCAACAAATACCAAATTTGAACGGATCTATCTATTGTCCTTTGAACATGCCTCTGGCTTTTTTCCCATAATTTTTCTCATTCCCTTCTTCAATTACAGTCTAAAAATTATTCGAGGCCGAAACCAAGGGCAATCATTGACCATCAGGTACCTTTCTTCCACTCCTGCCAGCTACAATGACAGTTCTTTCTCTCAGCTTCCTGTAGCACTTTGTTATCTACACCTTTCATGTGCGCTTATTGTGGCTCCAATTCTGCATGTCTTGTTTTCCTAATGAGAGTGTAGTCTCTTTAAGGACAAAGATCATGTTTTTATGCTTTCTGTGTGACTCTAAAGTGCATGGCATGGTGTTGTGCCTTGGGAATTTTCCATAAATAGGCATTCGGAAAGAAAATTGTAAGTGTATAAGGTTCAATAAAGTCCATTTTTCTAAGAACCATCCTTCATTACTGAAACATGAAGCCATGTAAATTATAATGTATTGGATTTGGTGTTTTTATTATTCTTTTCACCAACTCACACATTCTAACTCTTCTTAACTCCTTAGAGGAGACAGAAGGCAGGCATGCATATCAAATTTCAGATGGCACAGACTATGAGTAATAAATAATGCACAAAATGACAGAACCAAAACTAGACAAGTTGGGATTTAGCAGATAATATTAAATAGGGATAACTACAAAATTGCATTTTCTAAAACCAGCTGTCCAATTTCAGTACGGAATGACGTGGTTAACACCAATTTACAGCGAGAGACTTTCAGGATTTATTGAATGCTAGGCTGACATGAGCCCAGAGTGGTGCACAGAACCCTGTTCATAGGATGAGGGTGATGATTGGCTGGCAAACTGTTCAGACTCCAAGACACAGGCATAAATGAAGGTTGCTGGATGGTGACCAGTTCAAAGTGGATCAAGCTGCAATGTTGGGTAAAGTCTACAATAAATGGGAAACAAAGTCTTTTATTTTAACTTATATTAGCTAAATATATGGGTTAACTTTCACCTTTGAAATGCTTGTGGGAATCCTCCATCAGAGGATATCATTAAGTAGTTTCTGATGTTAAACTGGTATTAATTGGTCAGGGTTGATCCCCTGAAAGTTTTGCATTAGAAGCAGAACCTAGTCTTAAAGGCTTGTTGTTTTACTTTTGATCTTCCTCGTAGGTGTCAGGATTAGAGGTGTCCTTCAGTGAAGTTGACTAATTTTAGAAGCTGGCAAGTGCTGTCATTTGTAAACTCAATTCTCCTTGGGAAAGAGTGAGAAAGCACATCCCATCTTCTTTGGGCTAAGCTGGGACAACCATTTACAAATGCTCATATAGATTTGCTCCTAGAAACCCGTACTTCCTGAAAGCTGGGATCAGAGATCTGGCAAGAAGGCTATAGCTTAGGCCTTGGCACTAGAACTCTGAAAAGTGAATATGGTCTTGGACAGTGTTAACAGAAGCCTAGCATCTGGAACAAGGGTGCTGCTCCAGTCATGCTGGTCAGACCACACACATGAATAATTATTTCCCTTCCAACACCATGATTTTAAAAGGATACAGGCAAATTGGTGCACATCTTAAGGGAGATTACCAGAATGTTGAAGGGACTTAGAAACCAAATCACTAGTGGTGGTTCAGGCTCCAAGACTGAAGGGGGTCAGGATGGAAGGGGGCACCATAAATATTCCAAATATCTTCAGGTGTGTGCATGCTATTTTGTCAAGGATTGTTGGAACTTTAGGTAATGCCAGAAAGCAGAACTGGGGCCAGTAGGATGTAAGCTTAAAATGATGTTTTACAGCCATTAGAGATCTTCAAAAATGGAGTCAATTTTGTGGATATGAAAGATTTAAAATTTTCAAGTAAAAATTCAATGACTGTCATAGAGTTTTTAGGTGGAATTCAAGACATTGGGCAGGAAGTTAGACAACAGGGTTTCTAATATTTTATGAGTTAAACAATCTGAGTGGTGTGATGCTAAGCATAGTGATGGCTGCCTGTAATCCCAGAGGCTGGGGAGGCTGAGGCAGGAGGATTGGGAGTTCAAAGTCAGCCTTAACAACTTAGTGACACTCTAATCAACTTAGTGAAACTCTGTCTATAAATAAAATACAAAAAAGGGACTGGGGATGTGGCTCAGTGGTTAAGTGCCCCTGTTCAACCCCTGGTACCCAACAACAAAACAAACAAACAAAAACAATTAAAAAATGTGTAGCGTGGTACAGCATGTGAGGGGAGAAAGTTATTACCTTTAGATTATTTTGGTGTTATAGCTGTTTTTTTTTGAAGTTCAACCCATCAAAAAGGGTACAATCCATGGATTTTAAAATATGCAACATATGAGAAAAAATAAAAGCTTTGTATTATTACAGAAGGAAGAACAGTCTCATAGGGATAAAGAAAAAGAAATGTTCAAGGAATACCACAGGAATTAGAGTCTGTACCAATGTGAGGGAAAAAGGCACAGGGAGGAGGTTGGAAACCCTGTTTCCCACGGACAAGGATCTGATGCTACACACTTGGCACCATTCCAGGTGAGCACAGATCTGTACTGGGAATAATACGCTTGCTCTTTGGCTCGTAGGTCTATGGGCCATGGAGACAAAACACTCCAGGATCACACTGTTCTGAGAACTGATTGTCCTGGAAAAAAACATGCGTTTTTTTCTCTCTCTCTTTCTTGGACTCTTCCTCTTTTTCACGGTTGAGAGGAAATACATTCTTTTTATAATCTCGAGTCTCATGTGGGGAAAGAGGTCAATTTTGGAGAAAGTCAAGGTAATGCAAACTTGAGTATAAAAACAGATTGTAAAGCTAGGAACATGGAGGATGTGGGGCGACCTGGGAATAGAAGAGTGTGGTAAAAGAGGTGAAAGTATCCACTAAAGAACCATCCCATACCTTGCCTCTTGACCACCAAGAAGACCTCCCCGGTCATTTTGTATAGACCACTGCCCACTCTCCAAGTCCTCTTTAGGGGCAAGTGAAGTGTGCACCTGTGGCGGAATACAGACCAGGTAGGGGTGACTTTTTGCAGAGGCCCATCCACCTGCGCACACCACTCGCCCTCGCTGCTTCCTCGGCCGTCTCCCCATCCCCACGCCGGGTGCGGTGCTCCTGGCTACAACTCTCGCTCTGGCTGCCGCAAAACCCCGGAGCGCTGGAGTGGGCGCGCGGGCTGCGCGCGGGCCGGCGCCCGGAGCACTGGGCATGCTCAGTCGCGCGGGCAGAGCTCCGGGCGCGAGCCGGGCTCCTTCTGCACCACATTCATCGGCTGCCAAGGAGAGCCACTGGGCGCTCGCAGGCTTCGCAAGCGCTGCTCGCGGGAGGACCCGGCCGCCGCGCCCCCGCCGCTGTCCCATCGTCTCACAGAACCATGGCCGGCCTCGGCCACCCCACCGCCTTTGGCCGGGCCACCCACGCAGTGGTGCGGGCGCCGCCCGAGTCCCTCAGCCAGCACGCGCTGAGGCGCGCCAAGGGCGACGAGGTGGATTTCGCCCGCGCGGAGCGGCAGCACCAGCTCTACGTGGGCGTGCTGGGCAGCAAGCTGGGGCTGCAGGTGGTGGAGCTGCCGGCCGACGAGAGCCTCCCGGACTGCGTGTTCGTGGAGGACGTCGCCGTGGTGTGCGAGGAGACGGCCCTCATTACTCGACCCGGGGCGCCGAGCCGGAGGAAGGAGGTAACTGCCCACCCGGCGACGCGAGGGGCGCGGCCGGGGGCGCGCACCGGGCCCTCTCCTACTGCCCGCGGCCGAGTTGCCGGCGGAATTGGCCACCCCCGGCTAGTTCACAACTTCTCATTGGGGGGCGAGGGGGTGTGCGTACGGGTGTGAGAGAAAGCGTCAAAGAGAGAAGTTCATTGTTCACACCTCCTGGCTGTCGGCAGGCAGCCTTCCAGACGATCCGATTGAGTGTGGTTCTGGGGATTGGGGCAGGTGGGTGGACTGGGGAATCCATCTCGCAAGCATTTTTATTTGCAAAAATTAAACAGCAGAAAACACAAAGCAACTATGAGTGTTTCCCAGAAAGTGAGGACTGAGATGGGTGTCACCCCAGGCGAGCGGGCGGTGGCTGGGTGCCCCTCCAGGGGACAGCGCCCGTAGCCAAGAAACCCTCATGTCCTGCCTTGGCGCTTGGGGCTGGGCGAGCCTGATGAATTAACAAGCGTCTGTGCCACAGATCTGGGGGCGATTCGAGTTACTTTTCAGTGGTGGCGAGTAAGTCCCAAAGAACGGGACTGGCAAGCGAATGAATTTAAGGGGAGCGTTTTGTTGGTGAGCTGTGCTAGATGTGTGTATGGGCTGGGTTCAAAAAGCTGTACTCACGGTGGGATGTTGGCTGGTGCGCTTAATTGAAATTTTTTTCCCTCAAATTCCATAATTTTTATTCTCTATATTTTTTAACTCATAGCGATTAAGAGAGCTTTTTGTGTTCTCAGGGGATAGTGACTAAAATATTGCAGTTGTGAAAATGGCTGTGATTGCTTTAAAGACGATGTAGGTTAGTGGGAGAGACAAATAGAGTGAGATTGGATTTTAAAATGCCATCTGGCTTGGGATTCTTCTCATTGCGCTCTAAGAGCTCAGGCTCAAGACTCTCCTTTGCTATTGGTGTATTGGCATTACAAGATGCAGGTGGTTTCTTTCATTTCTGAGGGTTAGAATTTTTTTTTCACATTTTGTCTTTTTTCTCTTCTCATTGGAGATGCCTCACAGAGCTTCTGATTTAAATATGCTTATTCTATATGTGCTCCACTACTTGGATGATGGAACCCTGCATGGTCTGAGAATAAGGATATTCCATTTATTTTTCACTGAAGTAATCAACTTTTTTCTCACCCTACTTTAGAAGAAAACCTTTAAAAGAGTAACAGGTCTCATTCTTTCAGCTCTTTTATTGCCTTTGCTACACCTGTCCACGTTTGAGTCTGTGAGATGCCCACTCTGTTTTAACCTGGTAAGGAATGTAATCAATCCCATTAGAGTACCTTCTAATGTGTTATAGTAGACCATATGGCACAACCGTGGTTTCTACTTAAGAGTAAAATAGGTTTCAGAAACCCTTTTAAAATGGTACTCATTTGATGATAGTGGTCCAGTTTTCTCTCAAGAGACTTCATCCATTTCACTTTATTCCTATAATAAAACCTCCCAAGTTTATTTAGTGGGAGCAGTGATTTTTGTCCCCTGCCCAGATTTGGCTCCATTTTGATACCAGCTTGTTGGCACATTAGCAGAGGTCACAAAGTTCAATGGATGAGAACATTAGGCTGCATCTCTCAGCCTCACTGCTTTAATTCTATCACCTTGAGGAAATATTTCTTGCCTCAATTTTCTCACCTATTGGGTGGGCATATAATACCTATTTCACAAAATTGTGATAAATTTATTAATTTACATGAAATTCACAGGTGAGGACATTTGATGAATGTCAGTTATCAATTATTCACTTCATGGGTCGAGGAAGAATGGCTCCTTGAGTAAGAAGCAGTATGCAATACACTGATGTAGTTAGTGACATTTCTACTTCCCAGGGTGAAGGTGAGTCACCTTTGTGCTTTAGGCTCCATCTTAATCTGTTCTGTGACCTTGCCTCTTAGCTTGGCTTTCTGTGTAAGATCTCTTCCGGAAACACTTTTGCTATTGCACATGATCTGGGTCACCAGGGTAACAGGCCTTCCAGCCAGAGAGAGTAAAACGGGCAGTCAGTGTTGGATGGGATGCTTCAGGAAAACAGGGCCATACGGGGTGATGCTCTTTGAAATCTCTCTCAGTACAATGCTTGTTAGAATGAATGAAATGCTAATTAGCTAATACAGACAAGCCTGATAGTAACTTCAAGATCCTTTTTGGATTGCTATATTTTTTTTCTCATGTGATATCTACCTTCCTACCTGAAAATATACAGTAGCCAAGGAGTTATTTTAAAATTATCACCACTGATCTCCCTATTTCTATTCTCTTTTCATTTTATTCCCACACTGTAGCCAAGTTGATCATTTTAAAACTCTAATCTGCTACAGTTCCTCCTCTGATTAAAATTCTTGAGGTACCCCCACTTAGCTGGATAAATCCATGGAGCTTGGTTCTGCCTGCCTTTCCAGCGTCTGCTTCATCTCCAAACACTTGGCTTGAGCCAGCTTTATTATACTATTGCTTTTCTGAGTGGTCATTTTTTTTTTTTTTGATAAAGGACATGCTTCCTCCCTCCTCCCTTTCTTTAACCTGGCTAATTTTATTTATTCTTCAGTTCTTAGCTTACTGTCATCATTAATATTATCAGCTAACATTTATTGGGTACTTGTCATCTGCCATACACCGCCAGATTTGCGACATGTATTTCCTTAATACTCAACTCTTTGAGCTCAACACTATTTTTATTTCTATTTTAAAGCTGAGGGAGCTAAGGCTTAGATTAAATAAGTTGGCCAAGGTTATAGTGTGGAATCAGTGAAATCAGGATTTGAATCCAGGTTTGCAGAACTCGTAAGCTATAGTCCCACACTCTGTGGCATTAGACATTAACTTTTCTGTGGATTGGTTCTCTGTTTTTTTTTATTGGTGCATAATAATTGTACATAATAGAGGGTTTCATTATGGTGTATTGATGCATACATATAACATAATTTGATCAGTTTTTCTCCATGCCTTCCTTTATCCCCCACTCCTTCCTGGATCCCTTCCTCTGTCCTCATGTGAAAACCTAGTGTTTGCCTCAGTGGGGCCTTCAGAGATTTATAAAACTCAGCTCCTGTGAACACAAAGCTTAAGTTTTAGTGAAAAAAAAACTGTATATATAGAAAATAAGTAAATTATGTTAATTATCTAATAGCTCTGTGTCTTCAGGACTGTGTTTTTAATACGTTTACTATTTTGAAGATAAATAAATCAGTCTTGAAAAGACTATCATTTTTTTTTTTTTAGTTATCAGTGGACCTTTATTTTATTTATTTATATTGGTGCTGAGAATCGAACCTGGTACCTCACACATGCGAGGCAAGCCTCTACCACTGAGCCACAAACTCACCCCCAAGCCTGTCATATTTTAAATGAATCCAACTTATTTTTAGGGAAAAAGGCCAACTCTTAAATACCAAAACATGTAAGTACATTCTCTAAAACCTGAGGTAGAACAAGTGACAGAATGTGATGATTGAGTTTTTAAAAAATAAATTAAAATTTTGTATAGGTCACACCTGCCTGCAGTACCAAGTTCAAAAAGTGTAAGAGAATATGCAATGAAAGCAAGCCTCGCCTTGCCCTTCCATGTGGCTCTCCAGTCCCCTACCTTAGAAGCAACTATTAATACCATTTTCTTGAGTTCCTTTCAGAAGTTTTTTAGTACAAAGTCAAATGATTAACAGGTAAAGCTTATTTTAAACAAAGTTGTGACATGTATCCTGTGCCCTTTTGTCCCTTTATTAAGAATGATTTTATCCTTTCCCAGGTACTAAGTATCAGTATGTGAGATAATTCCCAGGAGAAAAACCATACACACATATTCTCACAAAATGATAATAGCTTTAATCTTTCCTTGATCATTTTCATTTTTGGACCTCTTTAGGAAGAATGCTTAGAACAAAGTTATAAATCCTGAAAGAGACTTAGGCATCAGGTAGGAGGATAGGGACATAAATGGAAGGAATGAGCATTATATATTTTGGTAGATGGCCCGTTTCTTTTAGGGCACTTAACTATATTTTGGTTCTGGGTTTATTCTCTCACTAGGAAAAAGCAAAATTATGTTGATCCTAGAGGCTAGGTGAACAGGAGGATGGTGTCTAATAACAAGAACTAACAAATACCTAAGTTCTTAAGTGTATATGAATCTAAAAGATGGTATTAGTATTAGCCCTATTTAACAGACAAGAAAAATGAGGCTCAGTAACCAAGATGAAGTAACTTGACCAAAGTCATACACAGATAATAAGTTACAGAAGTGAGGTATTCATGAAAATGTGAAGGTCATTTTTTGCTTAAAGGGCTTATTGCCAATTGTGGTTAATCCTAACAGAATATTAAATAGACACAGAAGAACTGCTTGAAGTCTGTTTTACACATTTATGATATACAACCTAACTTAGTTGTTAACTAAGTGAATCATTTTACTTGCTTTCTCTCAGAAATGAGAGTAAATTATTTTCATCTTAGTTAAAAAATAACAATTCAGTCATTTACATGAACCTCCTAAGTTGCCTGGGCACAATTTGATACATAATTGTGTCTTGTTTACCAGCAGAGTAGATATTTAGTTTTTTTTAAAATGCACATATTTTCCTCGAACTTCTGCTTCACTTCAGGTGAGGATACTGTCCTGAACCATAATTAGAAATTACTCTGTCACTGAGAAGGAAAGTGAACGTGCTGGAGGCTGTTCACATGCAGCAGATTAATGGTTCTTGATAAATCATCACCTCCAACTGGTTAGAACAACTGTTCCTTTTCAGGATGTTTCTTTTTCAACTCTTTGCATGGCCTTGGCAATAATATTTAGAAATTGATATGTCCCAGAGACTGGGATCCATTCCATAATGTAATCTATCCTGCACAGTTGATCTTGAAAGCCTTAAAAATAAGAACAAAATGATAAGTAGGGAGTGACTGCTATTAGATACTATTAGCTGAAAATGAGCTTTCTGCAGAGATTCTCAGAATCATTAGAGAATCATTATAAGACTAAG